GCCGGGGAAGGGGTGGCGGGGGTGGCGGGGACGCGTGCGGCGGCAGCTGCGGATGGGGCTGCGGGGGTGGCGGGCGCGTTGGCGGCGGCGCTGGGCGTTTGTGCGGGCTGCTCGGCCGGTGGGTTGGCGAGGTGGTCGGGGATGCCGGTCATGAGATACTCGACGGCGCGGTCCGGGTTGTTGAAGGCGGCGCGCATGGCACGCTGCACCTGGTCGCGCTCGAATCCCATCTCCATCATGCCCTGCATGGCGGCCTCGAGCGGGCCGCCCGTGAGGAAGCTACCGGACGAGCCGCCGGCGCCTGCAGGCGCGGCCTCGGCAGCAGCGGGTGCGGCACTCGCCTCGGTGGATGACGGAGCGGCAGTCGAGCCGGCGTCTGCGGCCGGAGCAGGCTTGTCGCTCTCGGTGGTGGCGGTGGTGGTGGTGGAAGGAGCCGATTCGGCGGGCTTGGCAGAGTCTGCGGCTGCGGCTGTTGTTGTGGTGGAGGAGGAAGCGGCGGCGGGTGCGGCAGGCTTGGGAGCCTTGGGCTTGGAGACCATAACGACGAGAAAGTCCTTCTCCTTGATGTTGCAGTCCGCGACGGTCTTGTCGTCCGTCAGAATCTTGCCGGAGAAGATGATCTTTTGCCATTCGGGCTTGTGGCCCTGCTCGGCCTGGATCTTTTGCTTGATGGTGCCGATGGTGTCCGAGAGCTCGGCATCGAGATGGAAGTTGCCACCGGCGAGGGACTTGATGAGGAGCTTCATGGCGGCGATCTGTGCGTTGTTGAAGCTGGATGTGGAAGAGAGGTGGCAAAGGCGCCCAGATGGTTGGCCGTGGGTTCTGCCACGGACTCAGCCTGCGTCTCGCTCGACGAGCTCAGAGTGGCTCGGCGGTGCCTTATTTTTGCAGGCACGCGCCGTCGCTCTGCAACGCTTTTTGCGCCGTCGCTCCGTCGCTCCGCAGTGGAGGTTTGCAGACGGACGCGTCAACTCTCGCTCGGCTTGGCCCCAACGCTCAGCCAAATCCACGATCGGATCGCAAATCTAACACTGTCACATCGCGCTCACCCTTCGCTGTGCCTGCTGGGCCTGCTGGGCTGCCTCGCTGCCTCGCCAACGCGCCCACCGATCACGTCGATTTGCGCATCGCTTCTCAACGACTTTAGCACAATCACTGTCTCTCATCACGGTCATGAACACGTTGCATTCGTAGACTGACAAGCATCAGGGTCGGAAGGGGGAAAGGGAGGGGACACGGCGGGATGGGCCCAGCCTGCGGCACAGGACGTCCAGGAGCCGCTCGTTACAGAGGCAAGACTCGAGAGACGGCGCCGCTCGACCAGCCCACCAGGCCGTGCACAAAGGACGGAGCCGGGGGGAAAGACCGAGAGAAGAGGGGGAGGGAGGAGGCTACTAAGATACAGTTGGACGGTCTGGACGGGACGGGAACAAGATTTGGGCGAGTCGAAAAAGGGGTTGGGGCTCAGGCGAGCTTGAGGAAGAAGGCGCTGGGCTTGCCGGCGTCCTGGTTGTGCGCGAGACACACGAGCTTGTTGGCGCCGACGTTGGCCTTGCTGAGCGTGTAGCCGCCGGGGAAGTCGGCGCTCTGGCCGTCGGGCTGGCCGAGGAAGTTGACATAGTACTGGAACTTGCCCTCCTCGAGAGCAGGCTGCTTGGTGAGGCTCCAGAACTGCAGCAGCTGGCCCGAGTCGTCCGAAGGGTTGCACTTGTCCGCAATCAGCCTCGAGTCCGCCTTGGCCAGGTAGTCGGCCGCCACGCAGCGCTTGCCGACCAGGTGGGCGGGCTGGAGACGTCCGTAAAACACCTCGGCGGCCTTGTTGGCCTCGGGCTGGTAGGCCATGAAGGTCGAGTTGCACTGCGTAAAGGCAAAGTTCTCGTAGCGCGCCGGCTGGCCTGCCTTTTGCACGTCGAGCTGCTGGAAGCCGTCGGCGTCGCGCAGGCCCTCGAAGGCGGCGCTCACCTCGCGACCGGCGGACGAGACGAGCTTGAGCTGGCCCACGTGCAGCGGCTGCGAGTCGCACTGCAGCACGGGCACCTCGCGCTCCAGCACGGGCATGCCCAGATCGTACGAGTCGAGCACGCGCGGCAGCACCGACGCATACGCTCCACCAACAGCGACGAGCGCACACAGCGTAGACGAAGTACCGAAACGCATCTTGTTGTAGAAAAAGAGTGGGGAAGGGGCTGGATGGATGCGGATCGAATCGACGCTCGGATGGAGCGGATGTGTGCTTTATAGACCTCGCGCTTGGCTGGCGTGGCTTGCGAAGAGCGTTGGGATCGGTGGGACGCAAGCAGCAGTGTTAGGAGCAACGTGCGTGTGTGTATGCGTGCGTGCGTGCGTGTGATGCGGGTGGATGCAGAGTGCAGACCGAAGCTTAGCGAGCGTGGTGGGGCCGAGAGTATGAGCTGGTTCAAAAGAGGGTGTGGGTTCTGATAAAGCGAGCGTGGGTCGAGACGTTGGAGTGTGGGGCCTGGGGAGGGGGAAGCGATTGGGAAAGAGAGTGAGAGAGAGAGATGGAGATGGAGGAGAAGAAACGAGACGTATGGAAGGATCGAAAGAAGAGGCTTGAAGAGCAACGCGATGCGGCTATGATATAAGGCAAAGTGTTTGCGAGATGCAACCGAAGGACGAACGATACGGGGGTCGGTGGGGGCGGTAGCGTTGCAGCAGCCGTCGGCGGCAGGCTTGGGCCGAGGCGAAGAGCACGCGGCTCGGCTTGGAGGATGGATTGCAGATCGTCGAGACGCATGAAGCGCGCTGCGTGTTGAACAATGCCGCACGCACGCACGCACGCACACGACGTATGCGCAGCGAGCGTTGCGCGAAGAGTGTGCCATATGCTCGCCACCTGCGACGTGCGCAGATAGGAGCCGTGCAGTATGCAGTGCCGGCGTCAATGCACGTTGCCGATCCAGCACCGACGCTCTTGCATTCCGCGACCAAGGTGGCCGGAATGTGGCCTTCCTTTTCTCGCCGCCCCCCTCTCTCCCCCCTTCCCTTCTCGGAAGTCCACGCGCTGCTCCGCACAGATCCATGCCAGCTCATCACGCCTCTCCCACTAGCGTGACTGCTTTGGTGTATGTATGCCGCGACCAAGACTGTTGCATCGTCAGGTGGCCGCGCTCGAGGCAGCCAGATTGTGCAAATGAGCACGCACGCGTGCGTTCAGGGTCCAGATGTCTCATTTGACGCCAGCGAGGCCTGCTGCATACTCGTGCTGCTGCGGCTGCTGCTGCTGCGCGTCTCGGTCTTCGCGCTCGGCCTCGCCATGCACCTCTCGCCGAGCGATCCGAGCCGCCGCAACGGCACCTCGATGGCCAGCCGTCGTCTTCCTTCCGATTTTGCTCCCCCTCGCCTCTCGGACTCCGCATGGGTGCCTTCCTGATCCAGCTGCGCTCGACTGTCGGTCGAATGGCGGTGTGGTTCGCGCCCCGATTATGCTTGTGAGAGACGCCGCGATCTCACACGCGTGCCATTTTTGCGCTGCTCATGACGTAGCCGTCGCAGCCTTTCTTTCGAGCCCGTCAAGGCTCGTCCCCGCATCTCAACCCGAGAGTGAGGAGGCAATTCACCTCCTCAAGCAAAGAAAGCCGGTCAGGCCAAGGCTTCATGCTGAGCTACCGATGATTCATGGCCGCATAGCGTAGCAGCGTGACCTCATTGCAGCCGCCACCTCGGTGCCGACGTCCGTGCGCTGTCAAGATGGAGCGAAATGGCATGCCGGCTTGAAGGTTGAAAGCTATAAACTGAGTTGAAGCGCACCTGGTGTTCCTTTCCATATCACGCTACCCAGCATCGGATTCCTCGATCCTCTCAAGCAACAAGCATATCTTCACCATGGAGAAGAGCAAACGCGACGATGTGGATGCGCTCTCGTCGCCGAGCAATCCGGCGCACTACTTTGCCTATGCCGCCTCGGCGTTTCTGATCACGCTGTCTTTGCCGCTCCTTCTGTTCCCTCGCATGCTGCTGCTGCTCTCGACGCCGCGCGGGGCTGTGGGGCAGGCAGCTTCCGACGCCGACCGCAGTGCGGTGAGCGCGATCGGTCCCGAGCTCACGCCGCTCGAGCGATACGCATCGCACACCAATGCGCTCGGCATGCTCGCCATCGCCGCACTCATCCTCGTACTCTCCGGCGCCATCCCCGTCTCGACCTCGCCCGTACCCGACGCATCTTCGTCGGGCAAATCGCCTTTCCGAATCCCCACCGTCGTCATCAGCACCGTCTACTTTGGCCTCAACGCCTACTCGGCATGGACCTTTTCCGGCCCCAACAAGCCAACCGGCAGCATCGATCCGGCGGCCTTGGGCATTGGGACGCTCGGAAAGGTGTTGGGCGCAGCACATGCCGGCTTTGCTTTCTGGGGCCTCGCAGTGTTCATGTTCGGAAACGACCTCACGCGCAACAGCAAAAAGGCCGGAGACGCAAGTGCAAAGGATAAGTCGGTCAGCAACTTTCCCTTCAAAAGTAAGCCCCCCCTCGCACCCTTCCACTCCAATCGCATCTTCCCGCCGTATGCTTGCTAACACCACCTCTTTGTCTGTGTATATAGACCAGTACGCCGCCGAGGAAAAGGCGAAAAAGTCGAGCTGAATGTCCATCTCACCCCCCATCCACACTGCTCCCCCTGCCCTTCTCGATCTGCACACACGCACACACCGCACGCTGTCAATCATCGAACCTCGCACCAGCCGCGTACACGTGTGAGATTGTCTGGACAGTTACGTCTTGAGCTTCTTGTCCTCGGCTGTGGGGTCGGGATTGTTGAATCGCGCGTCTCTCTTGCGCTTCTTGTCGGCGTCCTCACCCGACTCTTTCGGAACGAGGCCAAAGCGTTCGGCGCGCTTGCGCGCCTTTTCCTTTTCCGCCTCGAGCGCCGCCAAGCGCTGCTGCTTGTCCTCTTCGCTCTCGACGCGCTGGGCAGGCTGTGCAGCCTTGTTTTGTTTGTTGCCCTCTCGCTTCGGCGTAGGCGCTCCCGCTCCGAGCGGTTGCGAAAGCTTGGCGACGTCCGCCTCGTCGCTTGCTGCCAGCCCGAATTTGATCGCGCGTTCGAGTTTGCGTTCCGCCTCGCCCAGCGGCTGTCCGAACTTGGCCGCGCGCGCCTTGCGTTTCTCCAGCTCCCGGATGAGCGCATCGCGTTGCTCCGACTCGGAAGCCTGCACTGCCGCAGCAGACGCCGCTGGCGAAGCTGCTTTTGCCTCCGAAACCGACGCCGGGGCAGCTGCTGGAGGCGCTGGAGAAGGTTCGGATGCAGCCTCGACAACTGCTTCCGGCGCAGCAGCAGGTTCAGCTGCAGCAGCCGCTTCTTGTGCTTCTCCTCCGAGCGACGCAGTGGCAGCCGGGTTCTCAAGCAGCCTCTGAATCAGGTCCGGCTTGTTGCCCGACACCGCCAGCCCCGCCGATGTCAACAGCGCCTTGAGCTCCGCCACCTTGAGCGACTGTAGTTTCGCCTCCATCGTTCCAAGTTCAGGGGATTGCGTGTAGAGCCGTCCTGTATGAGCGGTGGTTGGGTTCCGAAAGTCGGCGACGTGGTCGGGATAGGGCAATGACACTGGTGGTAAGAAGGTTGGCAGTGGATGGCAGGGTCGCAACTGTGAAGCACCTTCTTCCGCTGCGCCCGCATCGACGCACGGACAGATCGCCACCTTCGACGCGTCGATCGACCCGATTTCACGCAAATTACACGCAAATTACCCGATCTGGGTCTGCATCCCGATCTCATTCTAACCGCCCACCTTGTAGAGCCAAACACTTCTATAGCTTGCATGGTCACTGTGCCTACGTGGTCTACGCGCCGAGCGCGGCCTCGATGCAGCCGCCCAACTCAGCACGCGGCTCGACGAGTTCGGGGTTAAAGTACTCGATGAGCTCGCGGAAGAGCCGCGTTCGCTCGACGTACAGTGCCGACGGGCGGCCCTCGTCGTCCCTGACGCTGAGCGTGGGCAGCTTGGGCGCGGCGGCCGTGCCTGCGCTCCGCTTGAGGCGGTGCTGCAGCACCTGCGACGCCGAAAGCATCGTCTCGGATCCGTCCTCGGCGCTCATGAGCGACGACACCGAGCTGCCCATCTCGGCCTCCTCGGTCTCGGCCTCGTCGCGCGGCCGCTTGAAGCCCGCGGCACCCCAGCTGTCGTGCGGCGACGAGCCCGGATTCGGGTTGAGCGGCGACGAAAACATCGCACCACCAACCACACTAGACGCAGCCTCGCCACGCAGGGGGCTCAACGCCTCGTCCGCACTCGCATCGAGAGCAGGCGCGCGCGCCGTCCAGTCGCTCGTCTCGGCACTCAGCAGGTGCGACATGAGCCGCCGGAACAGACGCGACTCGGACTCGTCCGAGTGGTCCACCACCGCACCCACCTCCGTTTGCAGATACATGAGCGCCTCCAGTCCCAACTGCGGCTGCGGTTGCGGCTGCACGTCAACACTCGCGACGCCCGCGCTCGGTGCCGACACACCAAAGTCGTCGTCCGAGTCGTTGGGCATGCGCGCCAGGTTGCGCGTCATCTCGAGGAACCTCTGGCGACGCACGCGGAATTTGGCACGGCGCAGGATCTCGCCCGGCGTCGGCCTGAGCAGCGTCAAGCGCCAGAAGTCGTCGAGTCGGTACGAGCGATCCGATGCATCCTCCGGGTTGCCGCCGTGCAGATAGTACACCTTCTTGCGGTCGTCGAATACGAGCTGCGTGGCGTACCGAGGCTGTGGCTCCGTCGGGTGCATGCCGCTGGACGCTCCCGGTCCATAGTCCGCTCGGCTGCGGCCGGCGATGGGCGTAGAGGCGTGCGGCGATCGAGCGGTGGCGAATGCGGGCGCTCCCGTTCCGGATGCGTCGACATTCTGGCCCGTGTAGGCGGTCCAGCTGTTGGCAGGCGGGTCGATGGCCATCTCCTCGTCGGCGCTCATGTCGTCCGAGTAGGCAGGCAGCGCCTGGAGCGGGCCGGACTCGGGCACCTCATCGCCCTCGAGCTCGCCGTCGAAATCGATGCCGTCGACCCCGCCTGCGCCGAGCATGGCCTCGTCCACGCCCAGACCGGCTCCCATGCCGCCGCCAGCTCCGCCGCTATTGATGGTGTCGGAGGCAAACTCGGAAGAGATGCCGCCCTCGTACTCGTACACCTTGCGCCACGACGAGCGCGGGATGCTGTAGATCCAGAACGCGCTGCGCTTGCGCTCGGTGCGGCCGCCGATGAGGCCGATGAACACGCTGATCTCGCGCGCGGCCACATCGATGGTGGCGCGCTGGGTGAAGGCGGCCTCGGGACCGTTGTGCGCCGTGTTGCGCGACACCTCGCGCACGGCGCCCGTGGCGAGGTTGTAGGTATACATGTCGGCGAGGAAGGTGGCGGAGGCGCCGCGCTGGCCGCCGAGGATCCAGATCTGGCGAGTGTGCGAGGGCGACATGCCGGACGCGCCTGGCCTGCCGCTGTCGAGCAGCATGCTGTGTCCCGAGCGGCTGAGGATCTTGGCGCCGTTGGAGGTGCGGTCGTCGAACAGAAAAGTCCAGCTGCGCTGGATGATGTCGTAGCGCCACATGCCGCTAAACTCAAACTTGGTGGGGTCCGAGTCGGTGACGCGGCCGCCAAAGACGTACATCATCTGGTTCTGCGCGTCGATGACGAGGCCGTGGTCAAAGATGAGCTTGGGTCCGCCGTCGGCGTGCGTGTCGGCGCTGAGGCGCTCCCATCGCTCGGAGCGCGTGGAGAAGCGGAAGAAGTCGGCCTCGCGACCGGGCGGCGATGCTGGTGCGGCGGTGCGCTGCTGCGAGTCGGTGCGCGCGCCGCTGTGCGTTCGGGTCGAGGGCCTGGGCGAGCGGCTGTTCGTGTCCGCAGAGCCGGCCCCGCTGCCAGCGAGCAGAGGCGACGACTCGGACAAGGAAGGGGGCGCTGGTGTCGATCCGGCGGCGGCGGCGCCAGCGCCCTCGGTGCCAATGTCGTCGGTGTCGGCGGATGCGTCGGAGAGGATCATCTGAATGTCGCGAGCGATGGATTCGGGATATCGTGCGAGGAAGTTGGCGCGTGTGGTGCGTGCGGTGGATGAGGAGGGAGTGACCGGCAGCGTGGAGACGGCGGGGGTGGTGCGGGAGGGGTGGGCGATGGAGTCGGCTGGCACGGGCTCGGCATGGTTGGCGCTCTCGTAGTCGACGTAACGTCCGAGCAGATAGATGCAGCCGCTCTTTTCGTCGAGGCACATCTTGTGGCAGCTTCTCGGGCTGGGGCCACCCTGGAGCTGGGTATCGGCAGAGATGAGTCGCCAGCGATTCTCGCTGACGTGGTAGGCCCAGAGGTCGGAGAGGTCGCGCTTGCCGTCCCAGCCGCCAAAGAGGTATGCGATGCCCTTGTCGGAGTCAAAGACCATGGCATGGCCGCCGCGGCCAGAGGGAGCGATGGGCGTCGAGGCGGGGGCTGATGCGGGGGCTGATGCGGGGGCTGAGGCTGCGGATTGGTGGTAGGGAGACGTGGAGGGGAGCGAAGCGGGAGCCGAGGGGTGGATGTGGGACCAGCTGGCTTTGGGAATCTGGCGCGAGATGTAGGAGGAGAACATGGATTTGAGCCAAGGCTGCGTCCATACGCCGCTGCGGCTGAGGTTGGCCGTGGAAGGCGAGAGCGGAGTGTTGGAGCCGCTATTGGCGGCGGATTGGACGGCGGCGGCGTCACCACCGTAGGCGGCGCGATTGAGGCAGACCTCCACCTCGTCCCAGTTTCCGCGGCGGACAAGAGCGTCAAAGAGAGAGGTGAGGAGCGGATGCTCAAAGGGACGCAGCGGACTGTAGGGGAGCATCTTTTGGAGTGGTACGGCCGCTTCGGCAGGTACGGGTGGACCGAGGCGCGAAGACTGGAGAAGCGCCTGGAAGGCGGTGTGGTGGCCGTATTGGCGGAGGTGCTTGAGGATGAGGCGGGTGGTGGAGGAGTGGCGGTGGAGGTCGTAGCTCCTTGCGACGCGATTGACGAGCGCGGGATCGCTGACGCCGGCGAGGGCGACGTGCCAGATGGAAAAGTTGTAGTTGGGCGTGTGGGCTGCGAGGGGGACGATCTTGATGTAGCGGATGGCAAAGGGCACGGCGTTTCCGGTGTTGACGAGCGCATTTGTGGCGGAGCGACGGTCTGGCTCGCCGTCTGCGGGGATGCGGATGGCGCCGTCGATGGAGGAAGCGGAGCCGGAGCCGGTGGCGGCGTCTTCGAGCCAGCGAAGCTCAAAGGATTCGGGGATGGCGTCGTTCTTGAGGCCACCACGGAGGAGGCGTTTTGTGGCAGGCGGTCTGCCGTGGACGGAGGAGGTGGGGAGGAGGGAGTCGATGGTGGTGGCGCCGTAGACCTTGAAGTCGCGCAGGTTGCACGGATGGGGCTTGTGATACTTGCCAAAGGTGATGGAGCGCACGACGCTGGGCTTGTCCAGTTTGAGGATGATGTACTGTTTTTGTACGTTGCCTGATGTCGATGCTGCTGCGTTGCTCATGACGGGTACGGATGCGGTGCGGCGGCTGCTGGCTGCGGACTGCGACGCGAGTGGCGGG